GTGTGTGTGTGTGTGTGTGTGTGTGTGTGTGTGTGTGTGTGTGTGTGTGTGTGTGTCCTATAACTGCTCTATAACCTGCTGAAGGAGGTGGATTCTGTGCTTCGTTTAGCAGAACTGATTGATTCACTCAGATATCATGTCTTTGCCCTTGAGACTGGAATTTACTCATCACCCGGGAAGCATCAGCATCATCACATACAGTCAGACCCACAGCTGACCAAATCTCATCAACAAAACTGCCTGTCAGCACATCGCCTAATCAGGAAACTTTAGTTGGGAATTTGGATTTTTATAGCACTTCCTAATATAACTTACAGTCTAATTTGTGTCTCACTTCCTTTAAAATTCCTAGTTATGCACTACCTAGAATTATTTTTATTACCAGGTGAAATTAATTATGCTGGAATTTTAGGTGAAAAACATTGAAATTCCATTTAATTCTAAATGAATTAGACTCTTAGTTAAGGGACATATTATACAGTCTTATTGAATATAGCAAAAAAATTGCACAAAAGCAAAAATGCATTAACACATTTCACGTGATTGTGCTAAGGACGGCTACATTTTGTGCACTGAGTAAGCAGCACACTCACACGTTAACAAGCATGACTGTAAAATTTATTCAGCTGCACTAACAAAGTCCCGCTCCCTCTGGCTTGACCAGGTCTCGCTTGAAAAATAGTTTTTAATCTCGATGAGGCTTTTATCTGGATAAATAAAGGATGATAAAAATAAATGACAAGTTCATCTGGATTGAGAATGATCTGTTTCAAAGGTTATAAGAGCATCCTATATCCTTATGGTGCTCTTTTCTGTCCAGTGGCTGCTTCATCAGCAGCGGTCAGTATGAACAGCACCTCATCAGCAGCCAAGGTAAGGTCGTTAGCTTTGCTCTTTATTTCTATTTTCAGAGATTTGCAAGTGAAATGCAGTGTAGTGGCTGACATCAGCTGACTTTGTTAAATGGCTTTAACAGAAGCACATTTTCAGCACATTTGCACGGCTGATTGTTTGTCAGACTAACGGCACTGAGCCTCAGATGTCCCATATATTTGAAGGGATTTTAATCTTTAAGAAAGCAGAGCTTTCTTTTTTTCGCACTATTTAGGACATTTTTCCTGCTCTGATTTTCCTCATTATTCTTTTTCCCACATTGTTGGAGCTACAGTGCAAAGTCTGCAAAGAATAGTAGCATGGACCATTTTCCATCTGGTTGCTCCATCAGCTCTCAACTATTTCATCAGTTTCGGTGCAGTAATGTAGCTGCTTGGAGTTTCTAATTGCTTTGTGCACTAATATTACAAATACATATCTTTTCTTTTTTTTACTGAAATCTAAGGTTGTGCCTTTAATCTTCCTGATCTAATGTAAATCTTAAAGGCAATTGTGTGTCATTTTTTTTAATATTACATGTGTTTTCTGCTTGTGAGTAGACAAAAAAAAAAACCCCAAAAAAACCCAAAACCATTTCTCAATTAAAAATTAATTTCTTTCCAGGCACAAAGCCCATGCAAATATTTTGTACTAATACTATATGCCTAGAAGTTACACAGCATCTACAGCCTTTATTTTAAGTACATCAAAGCATCATTATCATCACCGCAGCATTCCACAAACTGTGAAATCAGTTCATTTGCTGGCGTTGCATTCACTTATCCTCAGTTTTACACAAATATTAATTCCTGTTCATATGTTGAATTCTGTAAATACTGTAATGTTTTTGCCAAGACAACCTTTTAAATACATTTCTTAGTGAGTCATGCTGCATGTCTCAGTAAACAACTCAGCAAACACACTGTTATATGTACTACTAGACTCAAGGTGTTGACAGAACAGCCTCTGAAAATAAGATGTTTGCTGTAAATGTCACAGCAGCCACTCAAAAACCAACAGTTATATGTGTCCAGGACACCGCGGCTGTATTTGTTACGCACCAAATAAAGCAAAGCAAACATTAAACACAGCCTTAGTCAATTCACAAAGATACACTGTTGTAACAGCCAGAATTTCCAGGTCAGTGCAACCAACAGTAAAGGAGAATCAGCTAGATTGTTTATCAGTGCTGGGAGTACCAAATTACTGCTATTTAAGAAAAAGAGGTTCAAAAACATAAATCGTCTGTGTCTTAACATTAAGACGACTGTGTTAATGTTTAATACCTGCACAGGTATCTGCAGGTGGTTTGAAACATGAGCTGCCTCTGAAGTAGCCTTATTTTGGTCAGTCTACTTTTGCATTAGCCAGAGAATACATGTAAAGATGAGCTCAACCTATTAATATTCAACCTGTTCAGTGGTCCTAAACAGCTTCAGGCAGAGGAGTTAACTGTTACCTCAATGGTAACAGTTAATACATACATGATTAAAATACACAAATGACTCTAAAACCAGGTACACAACTACAAACATAATTATTAGCTAATGCTATGCCTAAAACAGTTTGCTAAAAGCACAGGATGTATTTTAACTTCTTAAAGTCCATGCTTCTTAGCTAATAGTGTTATTTATGAGTTGAAATTACAAACTAAATATAGTGGATAAACAGCTTTGTTACCTGAAATGATAAATAAAACCTTTAAATTATTTTACTAAACATGTGATTAGCAGAGAAACTGCTAATGAACCAGGTGAAATTGTAAAGTATGGTTAAACTGTTAAAGGTAAGATTAAAAAAGAAAGACTTAAACACAATAATGAATGAAGTAATTGCTATAGCTATTGGATAGGTGAATGAAAAAATGTGGTGCAAAGTGACATAAAGAGGAACATCTGTTGACCTGTAAAATGATCAGGGTTTTTGAATCCATCTGACAGGGCTGCGGTCATCACAGTCACATCACCACCTCTTAAGATTAAATTTTGATCAATCTGTGACACAACCAGCAAGGAAATTGGATTGTGGTTCTGGACATCTGACATCCTTTGAATAAATCCAGGTCCTGAGATACAAAATGCTCAAATTTGTTTGCCAGCTAGTTGCTAACTGTGTCTGATTCTAAGCGGATTAGTGCTGAGCATACAGCAGATTTTTGTTTTATAGATTTTTGAGTCAATAAAGAGGCCTGTTGCAAGCATGTAACAACACTACAACAGCACTCAGACAATAAAGTTGTGACAGTTCAATGATGAGCCGTAACTCACTGTAAATCCTCGTAAAGATAAGCGGAGCTGCTGACACCACTATGCAACTATTTTCACACCATCATTAAATATGTTCACCTTTTCCTTGGTGAAACCTGTCCAGTTTAATTAAACCATTTTTTATATAATACGTGACGTGGAGGATTTTGCAGGGGTGTTTGGTTGAATACAAGATGCCAAAACAGTATTAAAAATCTTCAACAGCAGTCTTAGGTGGATTTCCCCTGTGGCCTGTGTTATATCACCACAACATCAATTGGCTGTCAGTAATCCTGTTTGCTGCATGTCCCTACTGGCTGGTCCAGGTTTACCAGTATATCACCAGTAACATTAGTCAAATGTGTCCAAGCTGCGATTCTCAGTGTGTCCATGTTCACCTGTGGGTTGTATGTAAATAACCTAGAAAAAATTACTCTCTGTCTCTTTAAGCTGCACTTCTCCATCAGCATCCATGCATTTTGATGTGTATCTGTCTACATCTCTTTAGGATTTTTTTGGCTGATCCCTGACAACAGTGTTACTAAGATGTTAAATCTGAAGAGAAAACAGAGAGAGATCCATGGAGGGAGGAGAAAAATAGACGAAACGGAATAAAAACAGCCACGCTGTGAGCTGATTCCAGCCAGATCATCAAACGACACCTTTTCTCCGTCTCGTTCTCGGGCAGACGCTCGTGGAGCAAAGAGTGTTGGACTGACGCCAAGTGAGAATAAAGAGAAACAAACCAGGCAGAGTGAAACAGGGCCAAACATACTGAGAGGCTGAGAGCAGCTAACATAGAGCTAAAAGAACCAGTGAATAAAAAAGAGAGACTGACTGGTGAAGCAGAGAGGAAGAGAGATGTAAAGAGTCTATGTCATGTCCAACAAGGTCTGAATACATATTTTATATATCCAAAGGCTGGGCATTAAAGATTAACCCAGTCATCCTGTCTCTACATGATCTCACCTAATGATGGCAAAGTGCTCTTCTCTCAGCCTCGCTCAAAGACAGAGATGCATACACACTCTGCAAATAGAACCTCAGTGTGGAGCGAAGTCAGTTTAGCACAAGCAAAGTGCACTTTGACATGTGTGCTCGAGTGTGTGTGTCCATCCACTACCATGGTTAA